CTCGGATTTAATGGCCTTTCCTCCATCTTCATCCTTCTTGATCTCTGTAGACTCTTAACACTTCTTCATGATATTCTCTTCACCCTAGGTTTTCATGACACTATTCTCTCCTGGTTCTCCTCCTACCTGTCTGACCACCCCTTAGTCTCTTTTGTTGAATCTTCATCCAGGTCATGCCTTCTAAGGTGGGTGTCCCACAAGTTCTGTCCTGGGATCTCTTCTATCCTATTTCACTTGGTGATTACATCAGCTCGCATGGATTCAATTATCATCTTTATACTAACGATTTTCAGATCTACTTATCCAGACCTAACCTATTAGCTTCTAGATTCACATCCCCAAATGCTTATTAGACATCTCAAACTATATATCCTATAGACATATTAAACTCAACATATCCAAAACTAAACTCATTATCTTTCTCCCCATACCTTTTTTATTTCTAACTTCCATATTATTGTCAAAATTACCACCCTCCTCCCAGTAACAGAGGCTTGAAACCCAAGTATCATCCTTGATTCTTCACTGTCTCTCAACTTCCACATCTAATCTGCTACCAATACCTGTCAACATACCTCCATAACATCTCTTGCATATACCCCATTCTCTCTTTTGATGCGGTCACTATCTTGATCGAGGCCTTCCTCACTTCATGCTTAAACTATTACAATAGCCTAACGATTGGTCTTCCTGTCACACACTTCAACCTATTCTTCACTTAGCTATCAAAGTGATCTTTCTAAAGTATAGGTCTGACCATGTCACACATACACACACACACACACACACACACACACACACACACCCTGCACCTGTACCTTATGTCCCTTAGTTCTCTTGAGCACTCCCATTGCTGCAGCACATGGCATGGCCACACACATACCAGACTGAGCAACCTTCCAGCTGTTGTGTCTCCGCCTCTTTCAGCTCCAGGGAGGGTGGGACCAAACTGAGATCTGTTGCCTATTTGTTGCCTTAGAAGGACAATGTTGGGGAATCATTGGGTTTAGTAGGCAGAGACCACAGCAGCAAGGGAACTGCTAAGTGGATCCCAGAGCTGAAGTCTATGAGTCTGGTGGTGCTGCCCTGCTAGCATGTGGGGGCTGGTGGGGCACTGATTATAGGGATTAGCCTTCTCTGATCCAGTTCTTACCTCCTTAGGATTCTTGGTGTCTGAGACATGGAGACACTTGTAATTGCTTCATCTCTTACACATACTCTTTACTTTAGTTTGAGAGGTTATGAGGATTGGAGAAAATGTCTACTCTTTTATTTTGTTGGTCATGGGACCTGGAAGTTCTCTCCCCACAACCCCAGTAGTTTTTGTTGAAGTGACACCTTTCTTGAAGAGTTGCCTTTGTTTCCTGGTTTGAAATTTCTTCCTCACCCCACTCCCTAACATCATCATGAACAACAATAAACATTTATTAAGCTGCTTACTATGTGACAGGCACTGTGCTAAGTAGATGAGGATAAAAAGAAAGGCAAAACCAAGGTCCCTGACCTCAAGGACCACACATACCAGGGAGGGAGATAACATTCGAATCACTATGTATGTACAAAATATAGCAGTGTAAATGGGAGGTAATCTCAGAGGGATGGCCTTTGTGAAGTGTTTGAGGGGACCAGGGAAGGTTTCTTGTAGGAAGGTTAGATTTGAGCTGAGTCTTAAAGGCAGTTAGGAGGTGGAGGTAAGGTGGAAGAGCATTGTAGGCAGTGGGAACAGATAATAAAAAGATGGATACACACACACACACACATTGTACAATTTATCCAATCTTGTTTGTTTTTAATCTTGGCAGATACTAATATTCATGTTGGTAGTATTACTGTCAATTTTTGTTGCCTAAAGTTTTATGTCACAGACTTGGAACTTTTTCTTTCTATGTTTTATTACATTTACTTAACAGGATTTAAAGTGTTTGGGGGTAGAGAGGGGAGAGGGAGGGAGACAGAGACTTCACTGAAAAGGCAGAAACATTTCACTAGAGCTGAAAAAGACCAAGGGGTTAAAGCTGCAAATTGTGGTCAATTTAGGCCCCCAAAATTATTGTCCTGAACTGTCCTAACAACTCTGGAGATTAAAGTAAACAATACATTTTGGGAGTTTAGAGACCTAAGTTCCAGAAAAACACTTAACATTTTCTAACCTTTTGTTATACACTAGATACACAGAACATTTTTATATTATAGTTTATATAATAAATTACATATATGTAAAGTTTATATAACTTTATATATATATATCTATAAAGTTTATGTAACTTTATATAATAGTTACTAAATGGTAAACTACATGAAGGCAGTGTTCTTCATATAACTGGAGTTTAATAAACTTGTGGTAACTTGAATTTCAATAAAGTGAAAGGGACTTAGTGCCACTTCTGTGCAGGCTCTATACGATACCACCTGTTCTTCAGCCACCAGAACCTTGGACTCTGCCCCTGGGTCCCTGGACTCTGCCCCTGGGTCCCTGGACTCTGATAAAAGAGCTTTGACTTTATCATGCCTTGGACTAGGCCTCCCTGCCACTTTCCTGAAGCCTCTATACCACATTGCATTTCCACTCCCCTGCTTTCCAGCACACCTTTACATGTTATCTTCCCTCAGTATATGCAAACTCCTGTAGTGCATCTGGAGTGGTTGGGGTTAGCAGGGTAGAAGACACTCCCATCTAGGAGCTTGTTTGCTTGTATTTGTATCCTTAGAACTTAGCACAGTGCCTGATGTAGAGTAAGAAGGGATGGCTCTCTGCCTATTAATTTACCTACCTATCACATAAAATGCTAGACTTGGAGCCATGCAGACCTGGGTTCACATCCTGCCTCTGGTACTAGCTGTGTGACTCTGGGCAAGTCATTTAAACCTTTATCTGGTTCAAACTAACTATCTATGTCTTATCTACTAAGCAATAAAGGAATTGTGATTTGCCTTGGTGAAAGGAGTTCACATGCCAGGAGTTCTCTGTGCTTATGAAACCACAGGTCTTTCTTTCATTCAGGCATAAATTGTCACCCACTCCCAGCATCCATTGTTGAGTTAGGTTAAGTTACATCCATAAACTATCTTCCTGCTCTATACATTTATAATTTCTAAGATTCTTAGACTTCTTCCAGTCAATAATGCCCTGCTAAATTTTGGAGCCTAATTTAATAAAGCAAGTAAGATTACTGGTTCTCTTCAATAACCTCTTGAAGTAATCTTCAGGTTGGTCCAATTCAAAAAGCCTACTAGAAGATTTATAGGACGTGGACACGAATTGCACAGGATGAGAAAGCATGAATGGGTTGCCCATCTGCATTGGTGGAAGGAGTACCCAGAGATTCATCACTGACTGTCAGTACTCATATATATTTACACAGCACTGCTAGAGTGCTTTGGGGATAGAGAGATAAAAAAAATGCTTTCCTTTAGGGATCAGAGACTTGTTCTCAAATCTCTCTAATACAAAATATAATTGTCTAAGTGCACAGGAAAGTTGTAATGAAATGTAGTGGGAGATGGTGGTTTTGGCACAGTCACACCAAACTACCCCAGTCTAGGTGTTTGAAGCACTCCCTTGGACATGATGGTAGGTTTGGGATTTCTTGGTATTCTCCATCCCTGACACCCTACAGTTCTCAGCCCGTAGGAGGACCTTGGTTACCAAGTCCTTTCAATTTAATCTACGACATATCCCACCCCTTTCTTTAATAATAATGATAATAGGTAATACATATAATGCCTATGTTCCAGGCACTTCACAAATATATATATACATATATGTTCTCTAGCTCTCCATATTTATAATACATACTCACATATATGTATGTATACATATATATTTATATCTATACCTGCCAGATTAGCCCTCTTGGATCTGATGTCACTTCCCTGCCCAAAAATCTTCAGGAGCTCCTCCTATTGTCTCTATCCAGTAATATTCGAAAACTATCTGATATCCAACCTGATTACCTCTCCAGCTTTATTTCCTATTACCGCCCTTCATGCTAACTCTACAATCCAGCCAAACTGGTCCAAACACAATGGACCTTCCAGTCCCGGTTCCCTATGCTTGGAATGCCTCTCTTTCTCCCAGCTTTGACTTTGAATTGTTGCATCCTTAAAAGCCCTCCTGATGAAAGGCCACCTCTTCCAGGAAGTTTCTCACTGGTCAGCCATCCCCTATAACCTTTCTCCTAAAACTCACGTAGCATCTTGCTTTGCCCCTCTCTAATGCAGTTAATAAGGCACATGACCCAGCATCCGAACAAGTGCACTCCAGGATGCGTGCGAGCTCCATGAGGGCAAAGGTTACGTGTCCAGACTTTCTCTCTCCGAACATGAGGGTTTAAATAAAATACGGGTGGAGTCTAGCTAGCATGTGGGGGCTGGTGGGGCACTGATTATAGGGATAAGCAAGGCTCCAGGGCGGCTTTTTGCCCAAGTTTGGGGTTCCCTTGCCTGGGGTTGCCCCTTCTATGCACAGACTAACAGGAGGAAGTAGGTGTGAGTGTGTGAAAGGGAAGCGGGGGTGTGGAGACTTCTGTTGGACGACTGCCACACACATCCGTGTTTACTCTCCCTCCGCTATTTCTCTCCTTTCCCTCCAGCCCCTGGCTCTCTCCGCCACAAGCCAGCGGCGTGACCCCCTGCGCTACCACACTTCCCCTCCCAGACTTCAGGACGGGCGCTTTCCTCCCTCCGAGACTGCGCAGAGCGAGCAAGCTCACGAGACGAGGAAAGAAGGATCCCCGCAGACCGCCCGGCGCGCCCCGCCCCAACTTCCCGCGCGGCCCCGAAGGCGCGCGCCCAGGCGCCCTTCCCCCCCTCGCGCGTACCCGGCACCCCTTGGCTGCCATGTGAGAGGTCCCGCCAGCCAATGGAGGCTCGCGGCAGGCGGGCTCGCCCCGCCCCTCTCCCCTCCGCCTCCTGTGGCAGTTTGAAGTGACTAATTTCTGTCATATGACTGTGACACCAATGGGGGCGGCGGCCGCTGGGCGGAACTAGATGCTCCGCGGCTGCTCTCGCTGCTCCCCGAAGGGGCCCAGGTCCCCGCAGCCCCCTTCTCCGAACACATCTTGCCATTCGCGGGGCCCCTCGGAAAGAACCAGTGCCCCTCGGCCCCGCCGCCCTGGGCCTGGCGCGGCTGGACCTGACCCGGCCAAGATGCCCCCGACCCTCTTCCAGAAGCTGTTCAACAAAAGGAGCGGGCTGGGCTCCCCCGGCCGGGACGCCCGGGACCCGGACTGCGTGTGCAGGTAAGGGCGGCGTCCCCGGCTGCTCGCAGCCTCGCCTGTCCCTTCCCCCCGCGTGTCCTCCGCGTCCCCGGCGTGGGGAGCGCAAAGTTGGACACCCGTGACCGTCCCGCCTCTGGCCCGCTGCCGCCTCCTTCCCGGAGCCGGAACTTGGGCGGCCCGGGTCGGTCGCTTTGTCCCCGCGGGGCGCGAGGCTGCGGGGTTCCCCCCTCCCCCTTTCAACTTCTGGCATTCGCCGAGTGGGGCTGGCCGGGTGGGTGGCCAGGAGGGAGGATGCTCTGCCCGCGGGTCAGCCCTCTGGCCCCACCCCCACCTCCACCCCCACTGCCCAGTCTCTGAGCGTTTGTTTAGGTCCCCCACCCCCTCCACGAGGTGCCTGCAACGGCTGAGGTGCCGGGGCCGTTGGTATTTTCATCACCTTCCTGTTTGCAAAAAAGTTGAGTGATCGCCGAAGCAGAAGGAGTCTTGCAGTTACTTCTACCAAGAAGCCCTGCTTCCTTTGAACCTGCTTATTTACAGCGATACCCCTTTCTCTCGGTGAAGGAAGTTCTCTCTCCTCCGTCCCCCTTACCATGCTTGCTAACTGGTGTGCTTCCCTCTTGAGATATCGTTTAAGATTTGGGGCAAATTTCAATAAAATTAAGAAGGGAGGGGTCAAAGAGGAAGGGGGGGGGAGGAGATGGAGTCCCGTCACTCTTCTCTCGGCTTTCTTGGAAATTGCAATTGCAAGGGTGTTATTTGACTGAGCGACCTTAACGTTATAGAAGGAGAAATGTAAAATGCATAAGCTGCCAATAGCAGTCTAAGGTTACTACCAATTCTATCATGATCTAACCGCAACAGAATTGAATCAAGCATTCCAAACACAATCCTGTTAATAAAAAGAACTTTTGCTTGAGAACTCACTGATTAAGAAGTTCTGTTAAGCTGGTTAAGATAGAATTATAACTTGTCAAATAGCCAATTGAAAAATAGACTTTGGATTAGAATGGTGAGTACCAGTCTAGAAAGGGGGGGAAGGGCATAAGAGGGAAGAGAACAAATATTTACAAGCACCTACTATGTGTTAAGTGTTTTACAAATATCACCTTTAGAAATGGAATCCTTCTCTTCTGAGAAAAAGAGACAATTTTCTATGTTATGTTTCATAATATTAATAGCTAGAAAGTATGTAGCAAAAACATACAAATTTCCTGTCATTAATGTTATTCCATTTGCTATCAAATTTCCTGCTATAGTGATATTGACTCTTAATATTAAGTTTCTGTAGTATCTTTCCTTTAAAATAGAATACAAAGTATAGAAGAAAACCAACCCTTTACATTTCCAACATCCATTGACACAAAGTTGACAATGGGAAGCAGACTAAAGAAATAATTGGGGTGTGAAATTGGTGGCATATTAAGATCAGACAACTATCACAAATATCACTATTTTTGTTTTCTAGACAAGGTACATAGTTGCTAAAAGGTCACATTTATACCTGGAAAACACCTGCATAGTACATAGCAGCACCTAATAAATGCCTGTTTAATTTAATTGAATAATAATGTTAGGTGCGTATTTTTATTTAGGACCTACCACTCAAAGAAGTTCTTTGTGGCTGCTAAGAACTTCCCTCCCCCCTCATTTTCCTCCAAGAATTCATTTTCCCGTGTAACCTGAGTTTTTTTATTATATCAAAATTTTAAAAAACATGGCTTTGTCAAAGTAAATGGCTCAGATGTTAACTTTCAGCCTAACTATAGCTACTTCCATCTCAAACTCAGTTTTTTTCCTGAGGTCTCAGGGTTAATCAAGGCAGCTCACTGGAGGTAAGGTGAGACATTGTAAAAGTGATAGGAGAAAAGAATCTTGCACAAGGGGAGCTCCTCCTTGATGCCTTGTGTGATTACCGTAATCTGAAATGATCTCTTCCTTTTCTTATAGCATTCCAAATATTGACTTGTATGATAGATGCTTCTTTGGGGTTCTAAAACTACTGCCAGATCTGGAACAGGGGGCCCCAGTTATATTTCAAGGGATCTCTTCTTTACCTCTACCATGTTCTCACCCAAAAACCTGGGGAAAATCTCTCCATTACCAGCCCAGAACATTGCTACCAATTCCTCAAGTATGTTGGACCATGTAAAAAAGTGAACTTTGGTGCCCCTACAGGAGGAAAAAACCTTGATCAATTTAACATAACTACAAGACAAAACAGTCTCAGTCAAGTACCTGCCAGAGTCATAGTCCCACCACTGAAAGCCTTATGAGTACAGTAGGATCAAGCCCCATTCCAAAGAAGAGAATACTGGTTATCTTCCATACCTAGAGTGTAATACTTTCTTACCTCTGGTGCATATAAGTACTTAATAAATGCTTGCTCACTGTTGACTGACCTCTGCCTCTTAGAATGTCTAGTTTCATTCAAAATTTAGCTTAAGCACTAGCTTCTGTATGGTCTTTCCTAATTTCCCCAGCTGCTAGTGCCTTCCTCTTCAAAAGTAATTTTGATGAATAAAAAAAATATTTATTTTGTGTATACTTATACAGGTAAATGTCTCTTTCTGTACTACTTAAGAGTGGACCAATTTTGCTTGGGTTTTTGTATCTCTCCTAGCACAGTCTCTGGAATGTAGTAGCTATATATAAGTGCTTGTTGATTGTTTGGGTTCCCTTATAGCTTATCCCGACCAAGTGCTTGGTTTTCTTCCCCGCAATCCTAGCCTTTGGCTATCCTCTGTTGTTAGAAATCTTTTTCTGCTAGTACTTTACTGGTCTTTTTGTTCCCTTCTCACTTCATTCTTTCCTCATCACTCTCCCTTCAGATTTTGCTCTGTTTAATGTACCTGGAATACTCTTGCCTGTATTCCTCTTCCCCACCCTGTGATACTACCTACCCTTTAAATCATGAAGTCTTCCCTAATTTTCCTCCTTTCTCTAACTGCCAATGATCATCTTACTGGGGAAAGGTCATGTGTATCTCAGTTAAGGTAATATATCTTTCACTCCCCAGTCCAAAGTTTGTTTCCCTGCCCAGTGACTATACCACAGTTGTCTAGGAACAGTCCAGCCACTTCTGTGGTTCTTGAGTTTACTCCTATAGGGATACTTTTTGTTACCATATGCCTGATTTTCATGAAGATTCCAACAGCTACTTTGGGTTACATTTCTTAGTTCTCATATTAGAGGTCCAGAGACTAGATCTCCTACAACTTCGTATTGTGAACAAAACATTACATGTAGCTAAGTGCTCAATAAATATTTGTTGAATAAGTGGATGAAAAAATATTTCTTATTCAGACATCTAATATATTATATTTCTGCTCAAAAATCTTCATTGGTCTGCTGAGTAAACAAACACCTTGATACCTCCTGCAGGGCCTAGCATAGTACTTTTTTTGTACATAGTAAGTACTTAATAGTACTGAATGAGTGAATGAATGTTAGCCCTTCCTAAATAATAGGTGTGTTTTAAGGTGCCTTAATAGATAAGGGAAATGTGAGAAATTCAGATGATGTGGTGACAAGGGCAGTGGGGAAGATAATTTGTGGTCAAGGAGGACTTTTCAGCAGCTCAAATTGAACCACATAGATAACCTCTCTGTTCAGCTGTGTGCATATAAGTCCAGCTCTTCCTTCCAGCTTGCCAGTCAGTTTTATCGTAAATACTTGTGGCACCACAAAAAGGCCTTTGTGAAGAGATGTGGAGGCTTATGTATGCTTGGGATTGTGTGTGTGTGTGTGTGTGTGTGTGTTTAATGAAATCACTAAAGGGACCAGAAATTGAATTAGAATTGTAAAATTACTGAGCAGCTAAAGATATAAATATCAGCAACACTGGCATTCAAATGGTGATTTCCTGAACCTTACATTTAATTCCTTGCTCTGGGTAAATGCGTCTTATAATGCTAGTGTTTTGTAAATTGTAGTTGCTTAATTAATCTTTGAATTTAATGTCATAAGGAGTTGAAGATAATTTTTAGGAGAAATACTAAATATTTCTTTAAGAATTTGGAAAAAGACTGAGGTGATTTTTAGCTTACGATATTTTTTCACTTCTGGAAACTGCCACTTTCCAGAAGAAATAGGATTTGAGTACACTGCATCTGTAGGATACATACAAAGGATCATAAAGAGAGCTTAAAATTAAATTCTTCTGTTTAAAGTTTTACTGGAAAGGAAGAAAAATATGCCAAATTTTAGCAAAAAAGAATTGCCTTCCAGAATTGAATATGAATATCAATTGTCTTTATAGCCATATACACATTTAATGAATCATTATTTCTGCCATTTACATTTTTTATTACAACACATTGTCCTTATTTCATTAAGACAGGCTACAGTTGTCTTGGAGAATTGACGTTTTTCTTTTGAAATATTTTTTTAATTGCTTCAACTACAATGGGTAGCAAAATTACACATAAAAAAAGAAAATGACACATTGCCGAAGAAAATATATTGACTTTTAGAAGATTGTATTTATTGACTGTCAAATATTTATTGAACATCCAGTCTAGAATAAACATCTACATTTAAGTTTCAGATACAGTCCCTACTCTGAGACTTTGCTATTATAAATGTGATATTAATAGATTTTCTTAAACTGTGGTTAATAAACTTGTTTTTTAAAAATATTTTGATAACTATTTCAATATAATTGGCTTCCTTTACAATCTTGTCTATTTTATTTTATTAATTTAAAATATTAATTCTGAGAAGAGGTTTATAGGCTTCACCAGACTACTTATTAAAGGGATCCATGGCACAAAATGACTAAAAATCTCTGCTTTAAAATAATGACTGATTCCCTAAGCAAAACACTATCTTATTATTTTATAGTCACACATTATAAGTATCCAAGAATACTTCAGTCTCCTCTAATATAGGCAAGAGAGTGAATCTTTCGGTAGGGTTCTTAGATCCCTAAAGTTAGCTAGTTTCGGAGAGTAAAGAAAACGCATTGTAGGTTTTCTGCTTTATAGTGAGAGAGAAGCACTGAAGTCTCTTTGTAAAAAGGA